TTATGTTTGTGTGTGTTATGGAAAGCAATGACCAGAGTTTCTCCTTTTTCACTTGTTGTAAAGACTATGCTTTCCTCGTGAATTACCAAGGTGCCTTTGTTGAAAAGCAAATGACCATATATGTGCCAGTCTGTTTTTGGGTTCTCTGTTCTGTTCCACGGATCCATATATCTGTCTTTGTGCCAGTACCGAACTACCTTGGTCACGGTACCCTTAAAATAAGTGTATGAATTAGTGTAAATCCTTCAGCTTTGTCATTCTTTTTCTTTCTCAATTAAGTTTTCGTGGCTATATTTTTTTTCCAACCAGATTTTGAGGGTAGAAAAATTAGGAGCAAAAATTAAAATACTTACTATAATCCTAATTTATAAACTTATTTTAAAACTACAGTAATCAAGCCATTGTGGTATTGATGAAAGGACAGACATAAAGATCTGTGTAACAGAATAGAAACCCAGGAAAAAAAAATATATCATCTGCTATTTTTTTTATATTTTTATTTATTTTATAATTGACATATAACATTGTATTAGTGTAAGGTGTACAGCATAGTGATTTGATGTATGTATGTGTTGTGAAATGATCACCACAATAAGTCTAGTTAACATCCATCACCTCACATAGCATACATTTTTTGTGTGTGTGATAAGGACTTTTAAGATCTACTCTCTTAGCAACTTTCAAATTTACGATACAGTATTGTTAGCTACAGTCACCATGGTGCACATGACATCCCCAGGACTTACTTATTTTATAACTAAAGGTTTGTATCTTTTGACTCCCTTCACTCATTTTGCGCACCCCCTACCCTGCCTCTGGCAACCACCAATCTGTTCTCTGTATCTATGAGTTCCGTTTTGGGGTTGATTTTCTGTTTGTTTTAGATTCCACATAAAACTGAGATCATGCAGTATCTGTCTTTCTCTGTGTGACTTACTCGGCATAATGACCTGCAGGTCCATCCATGTTGTCGCAAATGGCAGGATTTCCTTCTTTTTTATGGCTGAGTAGTATTCCATTGTATATATACTACATTTTCTTTATCCATTCATCCGTCAACAGACACTTAGGTTGTTTCCACATATTGGTTGCTAATTTTTTTAAGGATCTCTGTGTCTATGTTCCTGAAGATACTGGGCTGTAGTCGTCTTTTCTTGTGATGGCTTTGGTTTCGGTATCAGGATAACCCTGCCTCATAAATCAAGTTGGGAAATACTCCCTCCTCCTCCATTTCCTGAATGGGTTTGTGTAGGATTATGGTTATTTCCTTCTGAAATACAATTCACCAGGTCATCCCTCTGGGCCTGGAATTTTCTTTGTGGGAAGATGTTAGATTACAAAGGCAACTTCTTTAAGAGATAAAGAGCAATTTATATTTTCTCTCTTTTTTTTTGGTGTCAGTTTTGATAATTTGCATCCTTCAAGGAATTTGGCCAATTCAGCTAAGTTGTCCAATTCATTGGCATAAAGTAGTTAATAATTACCCATTACCCCTTTTTAAAAAATTACTTTACTGAGGTCATATTGGTTTATAACATCATGTAATTTCAGGTGCACATTATTGTATATCAGTTTCTGCATACACTGTGTCATGCTCACCCCCAATAGTCTAGTTTTTATCCCCATTATCCTTTTAATGCCTGTAGGATCTGTAGTGGTGCTCCCTCTTTCGTGATGTTGTTGATTTTTGTCTACTCTTTTATTCATGATCAGTTCAGCCAGCAGCTTATGAACTTTATCAACCTTCTCAAGGAACCAGCTTTCGGTTTCATTGATTTTCTCCATGGTGTTTCCCATTTTGTTGTTTTCTCATCTTTATTTTTTCCTTCCTTGTACTTAGCTTGGGTTAAATTTGCTCTCTTTTCTCACTTCTCACGCTGAATACTTAGGTCATTGATTTTACACCATTTCTTCTTTTCTAATAATTTGTAGCTGTAAACTTCTCTAGTGTATTTTCATCACATAAATGTGGACATATTGTGTTTGCTGGTTCACTTCTATTTATCCGGTTCTTAAGCCCCCTGCACTTTTCTTTCTGAAGCTTTATAACAATCTACCATAATGTGGATCTTGCTTGGATTTGAACAGATCTGCTGTAATAAAGTACATTTTGAAACAACCAGGGACACTTCCATGTGGATAGTGTATTTGATGATATTACAGCAGAAGTAATAGATTTTTTAGGTGGGATAATGATACGGTGGCTGTGTAAGAAAATGTCCTATTTCTTAGACACGTGGAAATATTTGAGGTGAAACAACTTGATGTCAATCATTTGCTTTAAAATATTATAGAAAAAACAGAAAAGAAGAAGAAAGGGAGGGAAGAACAAGTGTGCAAATGCTGAAGTCGCTGAGCCTGGGGGTGGGCATGTAGGTGCTCGTATTCCCTCTGCTTCTGTGAACGCTTGAAAACTCATGATAAAAGTTTTTAAGGTACGTTCTGAGATGGCTTTACTAAGACAGAGACATAAAAGAAGAAAGAACGACTCAAGCCCAGGTGAGGACTGTTCATTTGTGGGTTAACTGCGAGTGCAGCAGGCAGAGGGTACGGTCACCTGAGAACCAGGGCCCCTGATGCCCGCCCTGGGCCCCCAGACACTAGCTGAGTGTTCTGCCTTATGTCCAAGCCCTGCGTGGTTGCCATCCTGCCCTGTGATGACCACGCCTGGAACAGGGCCCTGCCCACCTCGGCCAGCCTTCCAGGTGTTCACTACGCCGTTCTGGGGGCTGCTTGCATCAAAGAAGGAATTCGGCGCTGTTAGCTCGGGGTCCCCTCGGGGGACAAAGGGGCGAGCCGGCATTTGGCCAGCCCTGGAGTGGCTTGCCTGAGAGGAGGCCCAGCAGTGTTCAGGCCCGTGCTGGCCCCTCTTCAGCAGACGGAAATCAGGGTCCACTGGTGAGCGCTCCGCGTGCCGAGGCACAGCGGCAAACACGCCTGGTTCTAGACGCCTCCAGGTGGCAGTGGCTTAGACAACAAGACATGTCATGATTCCACCTTCCCTCGCTGCCCTCCTCAGGGTCCCGTCGTGGCTGAAGAGGCCCGCTGCAGCCAGCTCTGCGTTCCGGGCTGCGGTCGGCCCTCCTCCTGGGAAAGGGGGGTGCGCTTCACTCCAGGACAGGTCGGCTGCCGTCCCTGCCTCTGGACAGGAGCTAAGTCCCCCTAACAGAGACAGTGCCCGGCGGCGGCGGTCTGGCGGGCGTCCTGGGGCAAGGGGCCGCGGTGCCGGGGAAGGAGGGGGTTGCAGTGAGAGGCGGGGAGCAAGGTCCTTGCTCTGGAATGGGGGTTCCTGAGGAGACCCCTCGGCCTGCCACGACCACGGAGCGTGACATACACCATCCCCACCCCGCCCCCGAACGTCCTATGACCCCAACACGGAGGGCTCCGCTGCCCTCGCACTGTCCTCCTCCGCCGTGAGACACCGCCACCCGGCCGGGCACCCCGCTCCCCCGCCCCCGGCCACCGACCACGCCCCGCCGTTAGGCCAGGCGGGGTAGACCTCCAGCCTCGGGAGGACGCAGGACGCATGCGCGGGGCGGGCCCGCGGCGTTGCCGTGGCTACAGGCGCCGCGCTCCGCAGGGACGGGCGTGCGTTGCTTCCGGGG